TTTAAAGCAGGCTGTAGATGGGGGGCCTTGACTTCTTCTTTCGACTTTTTACAGTGGGGCCATCTAAAGGTTTCTCTTTCACCCAACATCTGCTGTTTAATGCAAACCTTAAACTGTAATAGGGTGGGAGGGTGCCAAGTTTACCTTTTTTTTTTGTTTTAAAGTTAAATGAGAGGGCAGCCAGACACCTTTTTAGCACATTTTCAACCAATTAAGCGTGTTGTCTGCCTGCTGACTTTGCTTTCCTGATTATTTTTTTATATATGGATGGATCTTACAGATGGATATAGGTATGTATGTCTGTCTATCTATACATAGATATATAGTGTGTTTTTTTTTTTTTAACTTTATTTAAAATCATACTTGCAAGCACAACTTAAGGCATCAAAACCAGTTATGAGTGAATACGAATACTTGTGAACAGTTGGTTGGTGTGAATGGCTGAACTGCACCTGTTGAATAGAAGTTTGTTTAACTGTTAGTATTTGAAGGGGCAGAACAGTATTCCAGTATTGCTTAGGGTCAAAAGGTCAGACTCCCTATAGGATGAAACTGTAGCTTCCTTTGTTGGTGTTCTGGCTCTCTCACCCTCTTATATCATGATTTTGTGGTATGCCAAACACTTCTTTGCATGTCTTCTAGAGACTACCTGTGAATTCACTAGTTTCTCCTTTATAAAATAACACTACTTTTTGTGCATTTGGCAGAAACGTGTGTTCACATACTAATGGTTCAATAAATGGCTTATATTTTTGTATTGCTTAAACTAGTGTGGATTTTACTTTGATCTGTTCAATTTCCCACACATGAAGCTATGTGGAAATTATTTATTGATGTTCTAAATGAACTTTCCAGACCACAAAGGTTTTGTCTTGAGAGGTGACATCTAAGAAACAGGCTTTTTCCTTATACAATGGCAATCATTCATTTCAAAGCTGGTAGCTTTGGGCACAAAGACTTTCTAATCTAGCTTTTTCCCCACTATAGTATATTTATATGTTTTTTGTTGGGTTTTTTTCAGGATAATTTAATGTGCTGGAAAAAACAGAAATAGAATTTTGCCAAGTGTTTGCTTATGGCAATGGAGCAGAAAGTCTGTAAGCTAACGTATGGGTGCCAGCGAAGCTCCACATCGGATGACGACTCTGGATGTGCTATGGAGGAGTACACTTGGGTTCCACCAGGACTGCGTCCAGAACAGGTTAGAAGAAGTTTTCAGTTACCATGAATGGGCTTGATATTAATGCATATTGATTATATCTGGTATTCATATAGCACCCGCACAGCAGTGTCCTCTATATTGCTCATTTTTAGTTGATAGTAGAAATGCATGCTTAGATAAACATTTCTCTGCCTAGAATAAACAATTCCAAATTACAGGTAATTTAAAAATATACTTTTTATTTAAATTATTATTTTAGTGCATCATGCCTGTTCCAAAAATGTCACACTTTTTAAGGTCGATGTATACTGTTAGCAGTGCTGACAAAATAGGATTAGCTTGTAAAATGAAGGGGTCATCTGCTGCTACATAATTGGTTAAAAGGTGTAATGCATATCATGACCATAGCTGTAGTGTGGCATTTTGATAGAATGGTTGGTTAAACAGTAGAAACTGGCATCTGGCTGAAATCTGTTCCAACGTGACCCCTCCCATTGAGTTGACTTTAGGCTTTCTGGAAAGAGCTCAGATGGAAGCAATGAAACTGTGGCTTGGGATGAACCTACCAGCAGGAGCCGACAAAGCAGCTTTTGTCTCACCAATGTGTAAAATGCAAGAAGCAAATTAAACCTGTTTTATAGGGGCTGTTTTCTATAAGGCTTTTCGCGTTCTGTTGAGTAATTGTAGGTTAAAAAAGGTAAAGTTTCCATAGAGTTGTTGCCTACTGTTAGAGGAGCTTGGCATAATAGCCACATTAAATGTGCACATTTTATGATACCCCCTAATAGTCTCTACTAGTTGCATTCCAGAAGAGCAATTCAGCAGCTGGGTGCAAAGTGACCATCTCTACTTGTGTTGAGCTGGCTCATCTGGTGCTCATTATCAGATAAGTCTGAAGTTGCCGGAGACCTGATGTTGCATTGTTTTTCTCTCTTGGCCGTTTCACCTTTATTTAACACTCTTTCGTTGTGCCTGCAATATAAGAGGCCCATTGTTTGAAAGAAAAAAAAAAAACCCCAAGAAAACATATAATGTTGTTGATTGTTCTAATGCAGGTTCAGTTGTATTTTGCCTGTCTCCCTGAGGAAAAGGTCCCCTATGTCAACAGCGTGGGTGAAAAGTATCGCATCAAACAGCTTCTGTACCAGCTTCCTCCACACGACAATGAGGTAAGGCTACAACATGGTTAAAGTAAAAAAACGTCCATGATGATATTATTTGGCATACAAATAGCCCTCCACTTTTTTTTTGTTCTGTTTCCTTCAAGCGTAAAAAAATCACATATGTACAATACACCTTTTATGTGCAGCCCACACCTATGCACTTTAAAATAATTTCAGACCTGGTGAGGAACTACTTCTGCACATTTTTTGGTGTCCCTTTTGGGGTTATATCACTTCGCCTCTTGTACCAGAGAAGCAACAGGAAGTAAAAGGAAATGTTTCCCAAAGTGAGTGGAAATCCCACCTTTGACTCTGGCTACCATGGGTTTTGAGTTCCATTTTATGGTCTGTTCCATGGGTCTGCACATCTGCAGTCTTTGTGCCTAAACTTCTCACCCTCTCTAGGCTATAAAAAGAAGTTAGCATTGAGGGATTATGTGAATCAAATAACTTATTTTTATTAAGGGTTGAGTATTACCAATAGATGTAAAGTCACATTTATTCTCCAAGCACTGTTTTGAGTCCTGCAATATCCTTTTACAAGCCAGGAGTTCACATACAAGTCTAGAGCCAATCAAAAATAAAGTCCTCCAAAACCATGGCATGTTTGATAAAACATTTCTCACTGCTGTTTTATGCTTTGTGCTGTTTTGGAAGAGTACCTTTTACTGTAACCAGAGCAAAGCTGGATTTGTCCATTGTTCAGGTCCTTACTATGGAAAAAAAATGTTTTTTCCTGATATACAGTGGTACTTCGGTTCGCGAACAGGAAGTTCGGCAACATTTTGCTTCCATTCGCGAACTCCTCCGCATCAGGTGACTAACGCAAGCACAGCCATCTTCCCTGCTCCGACACTGGTCGTGGCTTCCTCTAGTTGAGATCGCAGTCTGATCACAGTTTGATTTGGCTAGCGACCAATTCGGTTCTCGACCAGAATCGTGGAACTAATTAAGTTTGTCAACCGAGGTACCACTGTATCTCAAAAATTGCACTGGTCTATTCTCACAAGCCCAGCAGCTGTTTTAAAACTTTCCGTATTTAAGCTGTTTAATGGTTTTGCCTTCAAGTTTACAAGGCTGTTTAAATTCCAACATTTTATAGTTTAGTTCTACTATGTTTCTTTTTGTCTCATGGCAAACCGTAAATATGTTTACTCAATTACTTCTAATTGTGTCATTTTATAGCCATATGACATTTTCTTTAGATCTTAAAGATTATGCTTGCCCCTAAAAAAAGTAGTGTGCTTGTACCTCTGTAGAATTTGACGGTTAGGTGTTAATACAGCATGAGTCTGCTAATGCCAAGAGCTGACATAAATCTTTTGTTTCCATAGGTGAGATACTGCCAGGCATTAAGTGAGGAGGAAAAGAAAGAATTAATGATGTTCAGTACACAACGCAAAAAAGAGGCCCTTGGGAGAGGCAATATCAAGTTGCTATCAAGGGCCGCGATGCATGCTGTCTGTGAGCAGGTACTAGCCATGGTTTGAGCATTTATGTCAAGTGTGTGCAATTAATTTTACACAACAAAATTGATATTATAAACTGTTTAGGTAGAGAAAATAGTGTTACTGGCATTTATATTGGGGATTACACCTGGTCAATATTTTACCAAGCCAGCCATTAAAAAGGAGCTGTGATGCCAATGTAATCAATAGAGTAGAACCACTGAAGAGGGTGGCAAGGCTGGCATTGTTCAGGAAACATGACTTTATTCAAAGTTCTAAAAATGTTGCAAAGTTCTTTATTGTGTGCCCACTATGCTATGAGGGGTGCTAGGAATGGAACTTTAACTTCTGAGCCTTTCAGAGAGGATTTGAGGGAATCCCATTTCAAAATGCATTGCCTTGTGTTGTAGTAATAAAATACAGGGGCCTATTTTAACTTTGATCTAGGCTCACTCATGATTAAAGTGACACTGCATACTTATGCCCTATACTGCAGTTGTCCTATGATTGATTTCATTCTTAATTGTATCGCCTAGAAAACCCCTCAGGCTGGTCTGTGTCTGTACATTCACATGTCTCGTGTATGTGCGGGCTTTGGAGAATAATGTATTTTCTCTATGGGAGAAGTGTCAAATTGTAGCCAGATGGCTAAGTTTATTAAAACCACATTCAAATAATGAAAACCAGCTTAAGTGGTTCTCTAAATATCTACTTAACATACATCAGCAATATTTTTTTTCTTGGTTTAGAATCCGTTTATGGTCTGGGATTATTAGACTTTTCTCCCGTTTGGATTTTAAATAGGTGTTTAAATTCCCTTGCTAGTTGTGTGTCAGAAGTAGTATTTTTCTTTATAATGTGAACCGTAACAAATGTGCCAACATTCAATCAACATGGTATAGACTAGATGGGTTTAAATATAGTGTATATATTGTAATTTTCCTTTTTTTTCCCCCTCTTTAGTGCGGCGAGAAGATTAATGGCGGTGAAATAGGAATTTTTGTTTCGAGAGCTGGTCCTGGGGTATGCTGGCACCCAGCGTGTTTTGCATGCTCCACGTGCAATGAGCTGCTTGTTGATCTCATATACTTTTACCAGGATGGAAAAATACATTGTGGCAGGCATCATGCTGAACTGCTAAAACCGAGATGCTCTGCCTGTGATGAGGTATATAAAATTACTTCTTTTTTTTTAATGCCCATTACTGCTGCTATCTTTTATTGCAAGCTTTCTGTACTGTCTAAAGAATGAAGAGGTTGAGCCTATGTCCAGCTCGGATTCCGATTCTATTAAAAACGCATACAGCTGTTGGTTTGGTTTAACTTCATAGTGAGAATGTGTATGTCACTCAATCCATTTGCTACAGTATTGAGTGCTAGTAATAACTTAGAACCAATATTTTATTCTAAATCTAGAACTGTATACGTAGTAATTACATTTACTTAAACACATTTTCAGTATATAGTTTTTGTTCTTTTTGGTGGTTATCTGTAGTTGGATGCTACAGCTTTTATTATTCTCTAAACTTATGGATTGTTTTCCTCTTTCAGATTATATTTGCTGATGAATGCACAGAGGCTGAGGGGCGTCACTGGCACATGAAGCATTTTTCTTGCTACGAATGTGAAACTGTGCTTGGTGGTCAGAGATATATCATGAAGGATGGTCGCCCCTTCTGTTGCAGTTGCTTTGAATCTCATTATGCAGAGTACTGTGAATCCTGTGGAGAACATATAGGTAAGTTGGCTCCATTTACAGTATAGTGAAACTTTGGTACATTGTGTAAGAGTTAAAAAAAAAATATATATATTGTTACCGTTTTGATTGGTTTTATTGTTAGATTATTTTTTTTTGTAACTATGCATTGCAAGTAAGTAATATCAATGACACCCATGAGCTATTAACCTTTTGCAATGCCATCATTAGAATGTGGGCTAACATGTCTTGTAGTAATGTCTTGTAGCATTTTATGATTAAGTACCATCTTGTATGTTTCTTTTTAGGTGTTGACCATGCTCAGATGACCTATGATGGCCAACACTGGCATGCTACAGAAAGCTGCTTTTGTTGTGCACAGTGCAAAGTTTCCCTCCTGGGTTGTCCTTTTCTGCCGAAAAAAGGACGCATTTATTGTTCCAAGACTTGCAGCTTGGGAGAGGATATGCATGCATCAGATTCTTCCGACTCAGCCTTCCAGTCTGCTAGGTCCAGGGAGTCCAGGAGGAGCGTCCGAATGGGAAAGAGCAGCAGATCAGCAGATCAGTGTAGACAATCACTCTTGCTGTCTCCAGCACTGAATTACAAGTTCCCTGGCCTCTCTGGCAATGCTGATACTCTGTCTCGGAAGATGGATGACCTTGGCTTATCAAGTCATGGGGCCAGTTTTGATAATGACTGTTGGAAAGGAAGGGATGAGCAGGATACGCCAGAGGACCATGAAGAATGGGCTGAGCATGATGACTACATGACTCAGTTACTTTTAAAGTTTGGTGATAAAGGACTCTTTCAACAGCCTGCTGTAGATAATGGACCTAGTGAGCCTTGGATGTCTGAAAATGTCAAAATGAATAGTGACCTAAAAAGAAGCAGGCGCAACCAGAGTTTGGCAAGTAAAAAATATCAAACTGATATGTACTGGGCACAGTCACAGGATGGACTTGGAGATTCAGCATATGGAAGTCATCCCGGCCCTGCCAGCAGCAGGAAAATAAAAGAACTGGATTTAGAGCATGGTGCATCTGGTTACAAACATGACAAAATGCCCTGGTATAAAAGCTCCCTGGAATGCTTGTCTGATGATATGAAGCCACAGATTCAAAACATACACGACTCCATGGATTCATTGGCATTGTCCAATATAACAGGTACTGACTTTATTTTTTTTCTTGGACATATTACATTATATGTACTAGTTTTGAATGACTAACATCCTTGGCTGTTGGACTACGATATACTAATATTAGAATAGGTTTTTGCTTTTTATTACCCTTTGGATATGAATTCCATGTACAAATGTGTCATTCAGTTCCTGTTTTAAATGAATCTTACATGTAATGTCACCACCACAGTCACACACATGCGCGCAGAAATACATTTGTCAGTCAGCAAAATGAGCCAAATTACAACGAGATTATCGGCATTCTGTTTAAACAGCCCCGATGCTGGCGACGTACACTGTACGTCGTCAGTCACGAAGGGGTTAATATTTTTCTCATATTCCATATGAAGTCTTTTCTCCACATGTGTATAAATGTGTCATTTTCAACCATTTATGTTCCTTCCCTAAAGGATAGAAGTAGAGCCTATTCCGATTTGTAAATGACTGAAGTTCTAGTTAATCTATTTCCTCTTTAGTTTTCCAAACTATTCAGAATCCATAAGGAAGCCCCATGTATCAGTTTAAGTCTAATGTACCCATGTCTATAATGAGCTTTGCGCTCTGTGTTTTTGTGTTTCTGCTTTCTACCAATAATTTTCCTTTTCCCTTCCTTCCAGCAGCATCAGTTGATGGGGAAAGTAAAACTCGGCCATCACACTTTTCTTATTCAAACTTCCAAGACATGGACTCGAGAGACTGTGAGAAAATGAGCAATATGGGAACTCTCAACTCTTCCATGCTAAACAGGAGTTCTGAATCTCTGAAAAGCCTAAGTTCAGAACTGTGCCAGGAAAAGCCACTTCCAGAAGAAAAGCCAGTTCATATGTCAGCACTGAGAAGGTCTAAGTCACAGACCAGGCCACAAGTCAAGTTTTCTGATGATGTCATAGACAATGGCGACTATGGCAGTATTGAAATCAGACAGCCCCCAATGAGTGAGAGGAGTAGGAGAAGGGTTTACAATTTTGAAGAAAGTAGCCAAAGGCCACGCCACCACCACCGGCGTAGGAAGAGCCGAAAGTCTCGCTCTGAAAATGCACTTCATCTTGCAGCAGACCACAAAGCACCAGGACGGGAAAAACCAAGATGTTATACTTCTGAGGATTATGACAGACTCTTTCAGAACAAATCTCCTCAGGAGGTCCAAGCATATATCCAAAATAGTGAAATATTTGGACAGTATACAAATGCTGCTTCAGATTATGGACTGCAAAGCCAATTGATGGATAAATATTTTGGGTTGTATGGTGATGATGACTCTTGGTGTTCAACCTGCTCCTCATCCTCTTCTGACTCAGAAGAGGAAGGATATTTTCTTGGACAGCCTATTCCACAGCCACGGCCACAAAGATGCCAATATTTTACAGATGATCTTCCTAGTCCCACAGCTGTACTATCTAGTAGTCATTTTGGCCAAAGGACCACTAAATCCAAAAAGAAGGGACACAAAGGCAAAAACTGTATCATTTCCTAAAACCCCTAGGCATGCTTTGTTGAATTCCTGTGAAGACATTCTCAGTCCAGAGAGACCATTTTATTTTATAGTTCTGCTATTTGCAAAATACCGTTTTTGTTTTTTTGTTTGTTTTAATGCCATGTCAATTGTACCAAAACAGACCGGCTGGTGTTTACATTGTGTAATGACTATGGAAATGTTTGTGTTTAGCAGAATATTTACTTAGACGATCACAGGTTTACAGTACAGGTTTACTTTCTTTATTGCTTTGCACACAATACTTAAGTTAGAAATTAGAATGTGCACCATATGCTTACCTGACATACATACCCCAGACTCCCAAAGTCTGGAACCTGCTCTGAAAGGGAGAGGTTGTGTGTGGGCCAAACCTTTTTGTTTGCCAATTCCAGCAATTGCTTACTCATGAATATGGTATATTTTAATGCAAACGAGATGTTTGCTCCTAACAGTTTGTATCTTCCAGGCAATAGTTAAAGGTTTGTGTATTTAGATCAATGCAGACAGAGTCCTTTTGTTAGAGATGGTCAATGGCAATTCAACACAGCCAGATCCAGTTTTCCTTTTTAAAGTTTCCATGTCAGCGGGTATTTACACTTGAAAGCCTTAAAATCCATGCTAAGTGTAGAATATTTAGCTGCAAGTTATTTATGTTCACACAAATTTAGGCCTAATTTAACTGTGCAAATAATAAATGTATATATTGTATATGTTAAATGCAGAACATGTTATTTTTTATATCCCTTCTCTGCAAGGTTTAGGGGCACACCGGAAGAGAAGGTTTATTGCTTGTTTGCTTTCCCTTTAGTTGCCATTTGCAAGCAGTTCGGAAAGCAATACCCAACACTGTTCAGCAATAGTGTCTTTAAATATGTCTTTTTTTCCTCAGTTCTTTGGCCCTGTATTTGGCACTGCAGTGATGTAAGTTCTTATAGACCTGTATTACCTGTAGGTTTTATTTATAGGCCAGAGACTAGTAGAAGACAAATCTCTTCATTCTGCAACAACAGACTGTGTCTCAGAAACATATGTTTTAGATACCATAAGTCACTTGTTTGATTTTTCTAAAATATTGACACTGTTTGTGAATAAAAATATAGATAAAGTCCCATGTTCTATAGTAAGTGTTCCATCTTTCTTTACTTTGGTTTCATCCTAAAACTAAATAGGGACATTCTCTGTTCTTTTGGTTCCATTAGCTGTGTAGGCCTATGGAATGGCTACCAACAAAATGAAGACAAGCACTGCAGGTAATGCAGAAGGCAGACTTGAAAGACCTTTTTTGTGTGGCTACAGAAACTGTAGAAAGAAAAGGATACATATTGTGACTTAAGATGGACCTATTGCTACATATACATCTCCACCATCCTGCGCCCTTAATATAATACATTGCAAAAATAAACCAAAATCCCTGTAATACTTCCCGGTCATACCGAAAACACCGCTTTGGACTCTCATGGCAGCTGGTAAATGGTTAGACTTTGGTCAATTCATCGCAGCTGAAGAAGCTTATGGGACAAGTGTTTTAGGTAGGGCTGGGCTTGTCATCACTTACCTGCAGAACAGTAAGTATTACAGCCCTCTCTTTCCAATTTATTATTTTAAGAGGGATGGGGAAATGAAGACTATATTCTACATTTTATAATGTCTTATTCTGTTTGGCTTGCCAGTATGTCTGTTACAAGTGGTTTTGCAGGAACAAGGCAGCATAGATGTAATACAGTGCTTGCTAATATTTGTACACTGGTACAGTCATATGTTCAAGGCTGTGGTTGAGGCTATATGTACCATTGTACTGCATGGTCGCATGCAGCCTTTTGATAATTTTTGCTTTCTTCCAATCAATGATGCTAGTCTCTTCTTGGAGGTGCCATAGTGTGCATTTCTGATGAGGTACTATAGGCTTGTATGGAGAGCCCATCTACCTGTGCAAGTAAACATTTAAGTGTATGGTACAGCAATAGATGTGTGCAGTATAGTGGCTCCAAGAATAGTCTGGCAGTGGGCCACAGCTGCCTTTTTGTTTGCACCATGCTGCTGCATCATTTAATAGAAAAAGGAAAAATAAAAACTAAGAACGAAAAATGTGCACCAAAACCAGCTCACATGATCACCCACATTCACCACACTTCCCTATCCCCATAGTAAAAATGAAACGTGGACCTGACAAAAAGAAAAAATGGCAGGCAGGTGCAATGGTGCTGAATGTGGAGGTAATTGACTCCACAAGCAGGTGGTAAAGCCAAACACAGCAGAGGCAAGACAGGTTTTTGCATTTCTTTGGTGAGAGTGGCAGACCAATTTAGCCAAGGCATGCAGAAGAGGTAGTTGGCTCACAAAGCCTTTATCTTCTGTCCAGCAACAGAGCTGACAGTATTCTGCCAGTGTTACTAATGTGCCCTCTTCCTTCTCTTCTGCTAATTAATTGCACCATAACGCTGCAAACTGGCCACAAAAGAGTTGGGGGAATTACTCATGCATGTCTTTTCTGATTTGCTGCAGGAGGAACCGCAGAGAATTATAGCAATGCGCAGGTCTTCCTTTTTTCTCTGGGGGAGGACTGGCAGTGGCAAAGTGAGGAACAAAGCGGGTTTAGCACAGCAGTAGAGGGTGATTCATTGCCTATCAGAAAATGTGACCCTGACTGCTGTGCTGGATACGCTATGTCCTAAACTGAACCATTTTTGGAGCTTTTTAGGGCCTCAAGAAATGTGATGCATCAGGTTGTGTGTGTGTGTGTGTGTGTGTGTGTGTGTGTGTGTGTGTGTGTGTATGTATATGTA